CCAAATTCAAACCCTAATCTCACCAATTTATCCCTAAAGAAGTAAGCTCGAATTCATCGAAAAGAATCGAGCTTTTCTTCTCAAAAAAGGTTATCTATTCCACTCTATTTTTTTCCTACTCAAATACACAAAGTACTCTCCCTTTCTTTTCGTCTTTTTTTCTCGTCCCACAAACAGAAAGGGAATAGGGTGCACTTACACGCCCAAATCCTCCACCAAACTCACCAAGAATAAGGCAACAAGCCCGCATGGGTGTAGCTCAACTGGTTCCGGAGGTGGTAAGTTGGTGCAAGGTCCTAGGATCGAATCCTGGCAGCCGCAGTGTGGGAATTTCAACTCCAATGAGGGTTGGTTCCTTGTGGGCACCAGGTCCGGGTCCGCTACCTTAACGGGCCGTTGAGTTACCATGATTTACATTCCTCCATCAATCCTTGTCGGGCCAAGGGATGGGGGCCCTGGGGGCGAGGGATTTCGCCTTTTGGTGCAAAAATAAGGCAACAAATCACCAAGATTTGTTGAGGATAAGAAGAAAGATTTGTTGAGGATAAGAAGAAAGATTTGTTGAGAGAAAAAGGGGCATAATGAAAACATCTGCCGAAAAAACAACGAGATAGAAAACGGTGAAGAGAGAAAAAAGGAAAAACCAAAGTGAGATTGGGCTGACTTTAATTTTGAGCTCAAATTTTGTGGGCTGCACGTAAGTGGGTTGCAAGCAATGTTTTGAAACCCGGACCGGACCGGCCGGTCCGACCGGTTTAACCGCGAACCGCCGCCAAGTCCGGTCCGGTTGGATGAAAAAACCCAAAAATGCCTAAAAACCGGGTCAGGTGATGAAGAACCGGAAAACCCACGGTTGAACCGCCGACCCGGAACCAGAAAAAAACCCGGTTTTTCATCAAAACAAGGGAAAAAAAAAAAAGATAAATAGAAACTCGATTACTTATTCACTGTGTTTGTTCAAAGCTTGACAAGAAAATTGGTGGTAGTGGCTGGTGGGCGAGTGGAGGAAGAAGGATGATTAAGAAAGGAAATTTAAAAAAATGGGTAGAGGAGTGAGAGAGGGGAGTTGACGGCGCAAGTGTTATTTCAATGTAGGGTCTATGCTTTTATGTTTCAAAAATTGATTTAATTTTAAATTTTATGTAATTATACTTTTTTGTGTATTTTTATATTTTATTGGGGGATTAATAAATAGAATTATGGTCTTTAGATAAATATTTAGTATTGATCATAATCATAAGGCGGCGGTTATATGCAAGCCCATTTTTTTATTAGTTCAAAACCATATAAAGGAGTTTATTAGTTCAAGCCCGTAAATTAATCTAATTTTATTACATCAAGACCAAAGATGACAAATATACCCTTATCCACAAATAATACTCAAATACACAACTGCCGCTGCCAGACCGCCGCGACGCTGACCAGCGAGACTTCCACCGCACCGGCGATGACCAGCGACCCACCCACCACACCATTACAACCACCAACAAATAAGTCATTTTTACTAAACTTTTGTTTGTAAATTCGAAAACATTAATCGAGCATCGATGTCCTTTTTACTAAATTTTTATTTGTAAATTCGAAAACATTAATCGAACATCGATTCTTGATAAATATGTATGAATGAACATTAATCTATGCTTATATCTTGTTGGATTGCAATGATTTGGCCGATTTTGGAAAAAAAATTGAGATTGAAATTGGTTTTTTTTTTTATTTTTTTTCGTTGGTTTCCAAATCGGTTTATCCAGACCGATTTTCTACACGAAAATCAGCGTCATAATGCCGATTTTTGTTAACCAAATCGGCGACACAACGTCGACTTTACAAGTCAAAATCGGCGTTCTAATGTCGATTATTGAGTACAAAATCGGTTTTCGGATACCGATATTTTTTGAATTTTTTTTTAAATAATACATTATATATTTGGTTAATTGATATTTTTTAAATATTTGAAACGAAAATGTTTATCACCATTCGGTGGCGTCTACCACTCCTTTAACCCAATCGAGTAGAATTTTCCGTGTCTCAAATATTTATTCATTAGATAATTCATTTGAATAATCCTCCATCAATCCCCTAGGTTGATGCAAGAAAGTATGACAAAACGGTCTTACAAAAACACAGATAATAAAATCGGTATTTAAAAACCGATTTTTGTAGTACAAGTCGGCATGACAATACCGATAATACAAAAACAAATCGGTGTTGTCATGCCGATTTTTTACTACAAAAATCGGTTTTTAAGTACCGATTTTTATTAAAATAATCGGAATGTGGTTACTGACTTTAGTAACAAAAATCGGTATTTGCAGACCGATTTTTGGTATCGTCGAATTTTTTCCCAACAAAAAAAACGACTCAAAAGCAAAAATAAACGGTTAAAACATATTTCATTGTGTTCTCCACCCTCGTAAACAACCATATCATTGTTTTCTGGTTCCATCGTGAATGTTAGGTATGTATTTGATAATTTTGGTGTGTAGGATTTATTGGTGGGTTTGTGAAGAAGAAGGAGATTTTTAAGTCGTGGAATAAGGAAGAGGAGTTTCTGGATTTATGTATTTTATTTGGTCTTGCACAAATGAAATGATTTTTTTTTTAATATTTTGTGTTTTTTATTTGATTTTAAATTTCATTAAGGGTAAATTAGTATTTTTATGTTGGAAGTCTTGAACTAATAAAAAAATGGGCTTGCATATAACCGCCGCCTAATCATAAATATATATAAATAATTTAAAAATATAATAATTATTTTTAAGTATATATAAATAATTAAATAAATAAAAAATTAAAAAACCCGGTTGAACCTCGGTTGAACCGGTCCAACCGTGACCCAGTTAGGTGTCCGGTTCGTTATTCGGTCCGGTTTTGAAAACATTGGTTGCAAGGTGGAATTTTAATGGACCATTCACAAAGAATTCATTTTGGGCCACACTCTACAAGTTACAAATTAATATCCAAAGAAAATCAGAAGGCACCTTTAAACAAATTTCCATAATTACTATTCTTGAGGATAAGAATCAGAAGATTTTAAATAGAGATTGTAACCCAATTTTTATTTAAACCTTATTTCTTGTCTGTTTATTTATGAACTCAAATTTGTGGTTTAAAAATTTGCAATTTGTTAACAAAATGGTTTTCGAGTGGGCAAAATATAAATTAAAGACAAGAAAAATAGGGACAAATACAATTTATTTATCAAACGAAATGGAGTACAATCTCTGAGATAATTCCCCTGATTCTTCTCTCCTAAATCGATTCAAGGGATTAAAAACTTTTCTTGAATCGAGTAAATATAAACACCATGAATTCAAATATATTATGAATTCACGGTGGAGACTTGAGACTTGATTTCTGCATTTACATGAGCCGGACGCCTTCTTTTAGCAGCACGAATTAGGTTGCAGCTGTTGTGTGTAATACCTACACGCAAGTGCACGTATCGTACAAGTAATATAGTGGACTAAAAGTCCGGATATCGAACCCACAGGGAATATTTAATTATTTAATCCTAGACGCTAAATTCTACCAATTATTATCAAGCCCACCCTACACAGTCGACTTTAGAGAGAATTAACTAAAATAAATTAAAAAGCAAATTAAAAAGACTAGAGCACGAAAGCAATTAAAAACGAAGGTTTAATCAGAGTAAACAAGCCTAGGATTTTATTCTTCACCCTATGTGATTATTATTCCCCCAATTCCTTCAAGTATGCAAATAATTAACCCGGATTATTAACCAGAGATGCTAAAATAATCATAACCCGCTTCCGCGTGTATTACGATTCTAATACTCTAGATTCAATTACTATATTCCTATGCAATTAATTCTAGAACACAGCATTAAACACAAATCTCAATAATGGCTACCTAAGAGATTAACTATATTCCTATGTTAATACCACAAAGGCTCTTCTACCACAGTTCTAATTATTAACCCGATCTTCCGATTCATGCGATTAACAATAACATAAAAGCACATAAGTTGATCAAGTTCATGCACTTAATAAAACAAGCAGAAGAAATAATCCGGAATTAAAACTTGCATAAAATCATAGAAAAGGGTTCATAAATCCCACATAGGGTTCCAAATAAAATCATAGAAATAAGAAAATTAGCTACTCATGATTAAAGGAAAAACGCAAATAAAATAAGTCATAAACGATAAATCTATGCTTAGAGTCTTCGAATTCTTCGTCTTCGTTATTGCTTTGTTGCTCTTGAAATTGCGTAAAAAAATCCTCAATTGTGTGCTTGGCTTGGTCTTATATAGGGTGAAGAACTTGGGAAAGAAGGCAGTTTCCTTGTGCAATTAAAATCCCTTTACTGCGCTGCCACGAAGTCTCGGACGGTCGTCCCACAAATTGAACTAAAACTCGGACGGCCGTCCGAGTTTTAAATCTTCATATTTTGGTTTTTTCACTTTTGGCCCATATTTTCTCCAAAATTGCAGTTTTGACCCCATACTTTTCCAATTCTTCAATTTGTACCTAAAATACAATAAATCAACTTTTTAAGCACCAATTATCGTTAAAACACACCAAAAGCTCAAATAAAAAAGGTACGATAAAGTGTAATAATATACACTTAACAGCAACATGGGCTGAAACATTTGTAAAGTCCACAATGATTGTTGATTTATCGTAAAATTTCGATATCTACACGTACTTAAAATCATGGTTCCACTAGTGCACTTCACGCTACGAATCATGGAAGTGTCAACATACATCCTCACGATACGAATGAAAAATGTGAAAAACATTGCAAATGGATGTACCACTATTGGACCATGGTGGGGTAAGAAGAAACACTAAATAGTAACCCAAATTGATGTGCAGGAGAGGAATCAATTTCAAACTAATTAAAAAATACATAAATTTAATTAGCATTCATCATTCAACATTTAATAATACCACTATACCAAATTCAATTTCAGTTGCTATTTACTTATTGATATATATATATATATATATATATATATATATATATATATATATATATATATATATATATATATTTTTTTTTTTTTGAAGGGTGAGTCATACCACCCAAGTCACTAGTCCTAACAACCAACCATAAGTGCAATGATTGAGACCTTGTTCCGTCGGAAATGCCCTAACGATTATAGTAAGTGAGTTTGTGTCAATAAACTCAAATTCAAATATATTTGTTGCTAAGTCGATCTTATCACGCATGCACAGCTTAGTGTGATTTACATCTCTCGATAATATCAAATAACACGAGTTCGAGTGCACATATATGATTAATTACACATTCCTTCATTAAAGAGAATTAGTTGACTTTGTACATTATAAAATATATGCCCTTCATGGTTATCTTTGTTTTATGCAATTAAAATGAATATTGAAGAATATGTTATAATGAATAATTTCGATTGTTTTTGTCGAGTAAATAAATCACACGTCAATGATATTTTTGTATTCTAGTCCTTTTACTTTGAGAGATACTTGCACTATTTAATTATCAGTATCAACACACACTAAAACTAAAGTATATATTTATGTAATGCACATAATATTATATTATTGAATATTAAAATCAGAAGTCAAATGATGAAGCCACATTTAAATTGTAAATCATTATTATCCAAGTAAACCATGGCATCATAAATATAATTCTAACTCTCTACAAAATTGGTTCTTTCAATGACGAGTGATATATGATCTAATGAGTACTAATATGGAATGATGCATGCCTTCTCCATATATATATATATATATATATATATATATATATATATATATATATATATATATATATATATATATAT